ATAAGGGTCTGATCCAGGCCTCTTTCCTTGGTTGGCAAAGTGCTGTCTTCACATCATCTTAATGCTCTATAGATTTCCCCTTCCATTAATTACACCAGTCACAGCGAATTAGGGCCCACTTATGTGACCTCATTTTAACTTTATTACCTCTGTAAACACTGTTTCTAAAAAAGGTGTTATCACGAGGTACTGTAGGTTAGGACTACAACACATAAATTTTAGGGGAGACACATTTCAACTCACAAGCCAGTTCTATTAATCTTATAACAACATTATTGCACAACTTTAACTGTTCCTAGATGGATGTGTGGTTTTGTTTTAAATAAACTGATGCTTAACTGTCCTCCAAAAGAAGTTCAACTTCTTTCTCAGGTAGTTCTTTCTATACTTCTGTTAGTCCCTCCTAAAAACTATGTCTTATTTAGGACTATGATTGTATATGCTTAATATGTCTTCTATTCAAAACTCATGGTGTTGCAAATGACTATGGCCATATTAATTTACCTCCAGCAAACACAGGTCTTTGGTGCATATTACAGTTGTGATTTTAATTTGCTTGCCTCTCCGCTTACATTGTAAGTTCCACAAATGAAAGGTCCATGTTGAAAATTTTTCCCATTTTATGTATCCGCAGAGTTTGAACAAAGATAAGGCTCAATTGATATTGAGGAAAAATTTTCTAATTTTACTCTCAATGCCCCAGGCTCCAGGAAATGGAAGAGATGCGTGGGAGATCAAACCCTCCTTTTTGATAGGTGAGGCAATGGCACACAACTATAATCCCAGTTACTTTGAAGCTGAGGCAGGAAGATCACAAGTTCAAGACCAACCTGGGCAATTTAGCAAGATGCTGTCTCTAAATTTTAAAACGGGACTTGTGGATGTAGCTCAGTGGTAGAGTGCTTGCCTTTTATGGTAGAGCCCTGGGTTTAAGATCCAATACACAGAGTCTTTTTTCAATTCCATCAGATTTCTCCTTATCACAGTAATGTGTCCTGGGTCATTCTGTGGGCTTTAGGGGAAAATTAGTAACAATCCTAATCCCACCTCAGAAGCCCTTGGACATGAAACAGCCTAAAATACCCGAGGGTGTTAACCATAACCACAGGAAATGGCCTATTTCTAGGGATACTGAGGATAGTAAGAAGTGATGGGTGCACGTATGTTCACTTATTGAATTGTATACACTCCTTTATAAGTTATGAATTTACAATAAGACCTCTAAAGTGCAAGAAGTAAAATGAAGAATCAATAAATGGGATGGTATCAAAGTAAAAAGCTTCTGTACAGCAAACAATTAAGGACATGAAGAAAGAGCTTATAGAATGGGGAAAAAAATCGATCACCTGCACCTCAGATAGATAGGGCATTAATCTCCAGGTTATACAAAGAACTCAAAAAACTTATCACCCCAAACCCAAATAACCCAATAAATAAAGGAGCAAAGGAATTGAGGAAGTACTTCACAGAAGAAATATGAATGGTCAAAAAATATATGAAAAAATGTTCAACATCTCCAGCAGTTAGAGAAATGCAAATTAAAACTACACTGAGATTCCATCTCAACTCCAGTCAAAATGCCAACTATCAAGAATACAAGAAACGGCCTGAGATTGTGGCTCAATGGTAGAACACTTGTCTACCACCTGTGAAGCACTGGGTTGGATCCTCAGCACCACATAAAAATAAATAAATAAAATAAAGGTACTGTGTCCATCTACAACTAAAAATATACATTAAAAATAATAAAATAAAGGTTTTGTCCATCTATAGCTAAAAATCTTTAAAAAATACAAGTAACAATAAATGTTGGTGAGGATGTGGGGAGAAAGGTACTTTCAAACATTTCTGGTGAGACTGAAAATTGGTGCAACCACTCTGGAAAGCAGCATGAAGATTCTTCAGAAAACTTAGAATGAAACAACCACTGGACTCAATTATCCCACTCCTCAGCCTATACCCAAAGGACTTAAAATTAGCATATACAGTCGATGCAGATACATCAATGCTTACAGGAGCTCAACTCAAAATAACCAAGCTATGGAAACAAACAAGGTGTCTTTCAACAGATGAATGGATAAAGAAAATGTGGTATATATGCACAACAGAATATTACTCAGCCGTAAAGAAATGATGGCATTTGCCAGTAAATGGATGGAACTAGAGAATATAGGGCTAAATGAAATAAGCCAGTCCCCCAAAACCAAAGGCTGAATGTTCTCTCTGATATGTGAATGCTAACCCACAAGGGAGGGTGGGGTGGGTAATAGAAGTCCATTGGATTAGACAAAGGTGATGGAAGGGAAGGGAGGTAGGGGAGAGTAATAGGAAGGACAGTAGAATTAATCAGACATAACTTTCCTACACTTGTATTTGAATACACGACCAGGGTAACTCTACATCATGTACAATCACAAGAATAGGATCCTAATTAGAATAAGTTATACTTCATGTATGTATAATATGCCAAAATGCATTCTACAGTCATGTAGAATAATAAAAAAAGAACTTACAGAATGGAAGAAATCTTTGCCAGTTACTCCTATGACAGAGAATTAATATTTAGAATATAGAAAGAACTCAAACTCAATATCAAGTCTGTAATCCCAGTTACTTGGGAGACAGAGGCAGGAGTATCCAAGTTTGAATCCAACCTGGACAACTTAATGAGATCCTTTCTTTTTTTTTTAAATATTTATTTATTTATCTTTTTTTTTTTTTTTAGTTATCGGTGGACACCACATCTTTGTTTGTATGTGGTGCTGAGGATCGAACCTGGGCCGCATGCATGCCAGGCGAGCGCGCTACCGCTTGAGCCACATCCCCAGCCCCCAAATGAGATCCTTTCTCAAAATAAAAAATAAAAATGGCCCAGAATGTAGCTCAGTAGTAGAGAGATGCTGGCTGGGTTCAATCTCCAGTACCACGTAATAAATAAATTAATAAAATACATTTAGAGCAGACAAAAGGAACTCTTACACACCTAGGGGTGGGAATGTAAATGAGTAGCACCACTATGGAAATTAGCATGAGGTTCCTCCAAAAAAGAGGAATGGAATCAACATATGAAGCTATACCACTCTTTGGTATTTATCTCCCCCTCCCCCAATTAAGGTCAGTATATAGAGATAAATGCATACCTATGTCTATAGCAGCACAATTCACAATAACCAAGTCATGGAACCAGCTTAGGTATCCTCAACAGATGAATGGATAAGGAAATTTTGAGCTGTATGTATATAGACACACACAAACAGTGGAGTTTTATTCAGCCATAAAGATGAAATTATGCCAATTCCAACAAAAGTGAATGAAGCTGGGAAGCATCCTGTTGAGTGAAGTTAAACTCAGAGAGTCAAGGTCATATATATTTTCTCTCATGTGGAAGCTAGAGAGGAAAAGGTGGGGGAATCTCATGAAATTAGAAAGGAGATGGACATGGTGGTGCATGCCTGTAATCTCAGCTATTCTGGAAGCTGAGAAAGGAGGATCACAAGTTCAAGGCCAGCCTTGACAACTCGGCAAAAATGTCTCCAAAAATTAAAAGGGGTAGAGATGCAGCTCGATGGTAGAGTACCCCTGGATTTAATCCTCAGTACCACCACCACCACCACCACCACCACACACACACACACACAAAAAAAAAAAAAAAAAAAAGTGGGAGAGACCAATGGATCAGAAGAACTGGACCAGGGGAGGAACAGGACAGGGGGAGCACCTGGGATATTAAATTAATCTAATTGTTATGTGCATATTATGAACATGTCACAATGAAAAACACTATTCTGTATAATTATTATAAAACAATGAATTAAAATAATAAGATTGAAGAAATGAGCATTCTTAATACTAATAAAAAACAATAAACAAGCTGGGTGCAGTGGTGCATGCCTGTAATTCCAGAGACTCAGAGAAGCTAAGAGGAGGATCAAAAGTTCAGTCAGCCTTACCAACATACAAGACACTCAGCAACTCAGTCACACCCTGTCTCTAATAAAATATTTTTAAAAAGGGCTGGGAATGTGGTTGAGTGCCCCCGGGTTCAATCTCCAGTACCAAACCAAACCAAACCAAAACCCACAATAACAAAAAACACAACAGTAAATAATTCTTGAATTTTTATATAAAGATTTTATACATGAAACGTTCTGGATGCTTTATTTGTAAAAGCAAAACAAGTAGAAACAACCCAAATGTCTACCAACATGTGAATGGATAAGCGAATTACAATACACCCATATGATGGAATATTATTCAGTAATAGAAAGGAATGAATTCTCCCCCACCACTCAGCCCCCTTACTAGGAATCGAACTGAGGGATGCTTTACACTGAGCTATACCCACAGCCTGTTTTTAATTTTGAGACAGGGTCTCCCTAAGTTGCTCAGGTTGGCTTTGAATTTATGATCCTTCTGCGTCAGCCTTTGGAGTTGCTGGGGTTATTGGCATGTGCCATAGCCCCTGACTCATCTCAACATTTTAAAGAACATTAGCTCAAGTAAATATACAGTGTAGATGATCCTGATAACATCCCATAATGGAGTATACACATCTCCTTGGATTTCCTTCCCCAGGGATTCTCCTTCTCTGATGAATGTAGTTGTTTGGATCAGAGAGAGTAACTGACTCAATGCCAGCTAATAAATCAATTTTCCTGGGGAATACGGAATTGTATCTAAGAATTTAACAATAATCTGACTTCTCTCTTACACAAAAATAAACTTAGACATTGTCTACCATGTGGACCAGGAAACAGAAATCCAGTTGGAAGAAGAGAAAGAGGTGTGCAGGAGAAAAGCATAATTTCCTAGTTTTTCCCCAGTGTTGTAGTCTGGTTCCAGTCTGTTCTAAAAAAATTACCTTGGATATCATGATCCCTTACCACGTGACTTTTCTAATAAAATTCACCCTTTGTGAGTTTAGATGAATTTCTATCACTTCCAATAAAAATATTGTTAAAACATGTTTTATGGTTAAAAGAAAACACTGGGTCTCTTCATATTGGAAAAGTAATTATTTATTATGACAAAAATAAAACTGTTGACTGAAAACAAATTAATGTTACACTATATTGCACCATGATTGTAAATGACCCAAAACCTGTTTAAAAGATGAACATTCCAGAGCAAATAGCATCCTTTTACTTAGATAAGTAGGCATGCAAGCAACTCATTATGACGTAACTGTAGAAATAATCATGAGAACCAGCCACCTGAACTTAACATATAAAATGTATTTCACAATAGTAATAAAGTATTAAAATGACAAAAACATGTCTTCGAAACAACCCACCATCAGAAGAACATGCTTTGAACCATTTGCAGGAAGTGATGACGTGAATCATTAATTACCTTTGCAATTTTCTTGGTTAATGCTTATAATCTTGAACCAATGGCATACATTTCAGTTGCTTGGTTAGGGTTCAGAGCAATTTGTGGTATGAAGGACATTTTTTCTTTCCTCTGAACTACTGCAGGGGGACCACAGAGAAGTCTGACTCACAATTTTGACCTTATAATGCCATTTGTATTTGTTCAGGCTGATATAAGATACACTGTTAGAGCTATTGCAAAAAGCTTGAACCTTTATGGATACAATTTAAATTTTAAGAAATGAACATAAATATAAATACACACATTTTAATGTAGATGTACATTCTGAGGCAAAAAGTATATTGAATACGGGACCTAATGCTTCCTCTTTACTAAAGCACCAATTTATGTTAAGATGGCAATGTGTGATTATAATCATTATACTCTGATTAGAATAACTGCAAGAGCAAGGCTGTAACTGCTTTTAGTTTTTTTTTTTTTTAAAAAAAACTATGCTCTGTGGACTAGATGAACATGATAAAGTTTATAACAATCCAATAACTGAAAAAAATGACAACCATCATTTCACACTTTCAATGAAACAGCAGCTCAACTTTTTAAAATCCAAAATTAAAAAATTTCATAACCCACACTGAAAGTTTACTCCAAGAGAATAAAAGAGAGTTTCAAGACCCTGAATTTCCTGAGGGAAAATGTAAGATTAAAATGATTATAGTCTTTTATGGGATAAAACATGCAAAGAAATCATACACAACTAAGATCAAATCATAGTCATTTGCTATTTTAACCAATATTGATGGAAATATATTCACAGAATACTACAACCAATCAAATTAAAGAATTTTCCTTTCCCTTATTCTATTTAACTAATTAAATATTGAATGAGTATTGGCTCATTTGCTTTAATGAAAACTGTGCCCTGCTGGTAATAAACAATTAAGAATAAAACAAAAATCTCTTAAGTAATTCGATTCCTTAGTTGTAAATTTTGCATATTTCAAACACAGTTTGGGTAAATGGGGTATTATGGGATGGTGTAACATCCCACAAACTTGAGCAAAGCACCTTGTGGACTGAAAAATGAGGTAACTTTTTAATTAAAAATTTACAAGTTTATGCAAGAAAACATTTCCATTCTTTCAGAATGTTGTTTCCCTCTTTCTTTTCTTCTTCATTTTCTTTGTGGGGGGTGGAGGGGTGGGTACTGGGGACTGAACCCAGGGGCACTTTACCATTAGTGACATCCCCAGCACCTTTTTGTTTTTTATTCTGAGATGGTCTAAGTCACTTAGGGCTGTGGTAAGTTGCTGGCTAGTCTCGAATTTATGAACCTCCTGACTCAGCCTCTCTAGTTGCTGGGATTGCAGGTATGTGCCACTGACCCTGGCTAGGATTTTGTTTTTTATTCCAAAAGCCATGCAGAGCACATTATATTATTTCTTCATTTTCAGGAGAACATTCAGATTACTGGTTAAGGGGGAGGGGGGTGCGAGGAAAAGATGCCTCTAGGTGACTATAATTCCAAAATCTGAAAACATAATCAGTCTTCAATTTTTTTGGTCACATTAAAAATAATACAGGTCAACTAATTCTACAGTAAAATATTATATACTTTTAGAATTTGTTTCTAATAGCATTCAAATTAACACTATCCAAACATTTCATCAAAGTACATACATTTAAAGCTGACTCTAGGCCACCTGAACACATTTCCCCTCCCCCCCCCACTAAATTTAAAATGTAGTAGTTGAACATATTTTTCACATTGATCTTTTCTAAAATAGTTTTGGTTACCCAAAATTCTTAAACTATACTTTTTTGAGGAGGAGCCTAGCTTTTGGGTTGTCTTCACAGTTATAATCAATGAATAATGATGAGACACTATTGGAAAACCTAACCTTGACTATAAAAGTTTCAAATTTATGCAGACATTTATTAAACAAGGACAGTCTGGCTACAGTATATTTTCAATACTAAAAAGTTAAACAGAATTGTAGTTTGGGGTGGCATTTATAGGCAATAAACTGAAGTAACCACTTCCATCCAATTAGTAAAGCCATGAAAATGAGCAAGATAAATTTCCCAGAAGAAGGTTATTTCCAACATACACCAATGCATTTTAAGCAGTATAATATTATTTTCTATGCAATATGGCTTGTTTTCTCTTTTGTATTATCATTAGCCATTAATTCAATTTAAGTTGAATAGTAGTTATTAAATGTACTTTAATTTCCTACTTGTTTGCATAAAAAATGAGTGACAAGGGGGTTAGGAATCAAATAATAAATGAATATGATTTCAAAGTTTTTTGGTTCAAAGCCATAAATTAAGACTTTAAGAGAAATGCCAATAAAACATACATATATATATGTATAGTACCAGTACATTTTCCTGAAGTACAGTTATGGATTAAGTGAGTTGTATTCAGAAACAATTTCATCTATATTTTTGTCCTACAACACTAGACCAAAAAGATTTATATATATATAAAAAAAGCTTCTATTGTTTTCTTCAAAATTTTCTTTGCTTTGAGCATTCCATGGCTCTTCAGAGGCTACTGTAAATGGCATTGCCTATATTACTCACTGCTTCCATAAGAAAATAATTATTTTGTCTTTATTTTATAGATAATGAAAGTTCAATTATGCTTAATCAAAGTGATTATGGCTATAGGGGTGGTGACATTTAGAAATTTTCAGCACTGAAATTTGTATTATCTTTCTTCTAATGAATACAGAATATACCTTTAAGCATACTAACACAAGAACCTAAAAGCAAAAATTACATATTTAATCCTCAGTTTTCAATAGATTTTATGTGTGTGTGTATATATATATATATATATATAAATATTTCAGGTTTTAAGAAATTAAATTACATTAACAATATTAAGTATATTCCCTTATTAAAAAGGAGAGTTAATTCTAAAAGAGTTCTCAAATGAGTTTCAATCAGCAAAATCTCAGAATTAAGAAAGATGCCATATTTGAACTTGCAAAAGCAAGTATATTTTAATTTTAACACAATGAAAATATTTTCCTTAAAATTTAAATTCTTTGGGGTTAGGGTAGAGTACTTGCCTAGCATCTGTGAAGAACTGGGTTCTATCCTCAGCATCACATTGATAAATAAAAAATAAAAGTATTGTATCTATCTACAACTAAAAAACAAAACAAACAACAAAAAAAACCCACAAAACTTTAAATTCTTTATCCTCCATTTAAAAATAAAATGTATAATAATCTCCTGAAGGTAATGTGTGTTGGGTTTCTTACTTCCCACTTACTAGAAACTTTGCTAGGCAATATGTGAACAGAGAGGATAAAAGCTCAAATTATTCCCTTGTTGAACTAATTAGCTGCTAATCAGACTTCTAAAGAGCAGGTATAATACAAAATTAAGAACTTATCTTAAATATGAATAAAGGCACTAATCACAAATTTACATTTTTCAAATAATATCTGTTGGCTGTTTATAATGAATAAAATCAATGCTTCAGTATTAGATATTTGCTTAAGTCAAGACATTCTCTTGGAGTAAAGGATGATCAGTTTTCATATTATTTAACAGGAAAGATCTGATGAAAACCTTTTAAAAAGTTTTGTATGAACATCCTAATTGAACTTTTCCCAATCATTGGCACAAAGTCTACTTGAATGATGACTGCCTCCTCAACAAACAGCTAACACAGATCACTTCAAATCCAAAAATAACAAAACGGTTTAAAAAAATTATTTAGAAAATTAAATAGCGAATCTTAGACTCTACTAGTATAGCTGTTTGACAAAATACAATCAACTATTAAAAACACTTTCAATATAATGCTGAAGTGGTAATATAAAAAATAACCATGTAATTTGATAGAAGAGAACTGAACCAGCCAATCTTATTGGATACATGAAGGCAGATAATTATTTCATAATACTGAAGTACTAAACATACTTTTTCTCAGGATAGATTTGAGAATTATCCTTAGTACTTATGGTAAACAATAAAACCAAGTAGAAATTCAGGCAAAGTGTGCTTTAGGTAAATGGTATTTTCTTAATTCTCATCTCCCTCCACCACCATCACTCAAAACACACACACACACACACCCCACAAAGCATCCGTATTGACTTATATCTGCTTTTCTCACTTGTTCTTGATTATGGGTTGTAGTAAAACTAAAGTTAGCCACTACTTGGTATAGAATAATTAATTAAAAGGTTCAAAATAAAGTTAATTATTTCCCAAAGTCCAGAAAGCTTGCTCCTGGCCATTTTTCTGTTTGAGAGCATACTACCACTAAACAAATCAGGAAAGTGTTATCAAGTTTATCTAAATTAATTCATCTCAATATAGTAAACTAAATATACCTGAAAACAGCAAAATTTAAATTCATTTACAAATCAAATATTAAAATTAAAACACCACTTTTGAACAGATATTGATAATCTTAGGAACACTGAATCTTATTTTTGATCCCAAAGAAAAAAATACTGCAAGAATGGAATAACATTCTCTAAATATATGTTCTATACCTTCTTTAGAGCAAAATCACACATTGGAAATAAAAGAATTAAAATTAAAATTCCTGTCCTCCCTCTTAATTGAAAATATGCAATGCTCAGATATTCACATTAGACAACTGCCTCAAAAACTTAATGCTATCCAAAAAATAAACTTTTGATTATGACATTTCCTGCACTTTGATTTCTGAATTTAAGTGGTGTTAAGAATACTAACTTTGAGTATTACAGTAATGTTATAAAAGCTAGGATAAAATTTAGCAGCTTCCTGTAAGATTTTAGAACATGAAGTACATATAACTTAAAAATGGCAACTGTTTCAAGGCTACTCCATACAACATTCTTGAAAATATTTAAAGAAAGCCCCATGGTTTCTTAATATTCTGCTGGTGGCAAAAATGCTATGAAAGACACTATACCAAATTTTAAGAAAGAAAAAGGACTGTTCATACTTCTGCTTTAGCTACTGTGGAAAGCAGATGTGTTGTTTTCTTCAAATAATAGCTGAAATTTTGTGGATAACAGAGTTGTTTGCAAATTGATAGTAAAATAGATTCAGCTGTCATATTTTAATTTTAGTGCTGGTGTGCTTTAATAATTTCTGATTATTATATACACGTTGAATAATGACATTCCTTAAATTACCAGACTAATCCAACAGTATTTACCATCCATGCCAGGCTTTCAAATAAATATTTTACCTGGATTAGTTTTTACCAAATGTTGTAATCACAAAAGTGAACTCAATTTCTTTATATAAATTAATAGTCCACTTAATTTCCATGCTAATAGCAACTTACAATTCTTCCATGAAATGCAATATGTGAGGGAATTAAAGGCAAATATTCATAATGGTTAATCTTTCTTATATGTATCTTCTAGGCAGATTTATTTCTTTAGAATAAAGTCTGTCAGAAAGATAAATGATTCATAAAAAGAACAAATATTTAGTGCTGGAAAAATTTGGAAGTAGTACCTGATAATTTCCACTAAAATTCTGTCAAAACTGGAAGGAGGGAGTAGTGATCATGAATGGAAAGAAATTGCTCATAAAGGTTATAACAATACTTTTGAAACATTAAACATGACAAACATTTTTACAAGGCAGTCACTGAATAATTAGAATACAGAATAAGCAGTCAGAAGAGTTCTGTTGCTGAAAACAGTTATGCATTATGTTCATCCAACTGAAGATTAGTGCATTTAAAAAAAGTTAAGAAAAAATCTTTTATGTTCCAGTTCAGCTGCACTTGATTCAAGTGTTGCTCATAGAGGTTTGTGTTGTTATAAATTAAACATGCTGCTGCCTCAGCAGCTAAAGGTACTAGGAAAAATGTTCATGTCATAGAATAAATAGAGCAGTCTCTTTCAAGCTAAAAAGTTATCTCACGCCAATCCGGGAGGTCATCCACTCTAGACCTTGGCATAACCTACACAAAGAAAGAAGTATTTTTAAAATTAATGAAAGATTCACTTAAAATGATTTTAAATCATTATGAGTCAATGTGGGAAACTGCTTTACTTTCATCTTAAAGATATAGCTTTGGCAGTTTTGACATGAAGACTACCCCTCCCATTTAACTAAAACCACTTGAAATAAAAAAAAAAAAAAATGGCAAGAACTTCACCTTACCCTCTTAAACTCTAAAGAATGAAATACCTACAAACAACCTTAAAATCATGGGTCAAAGCATTTCTATAACATATATATTATACTGCAACATTTCTAAGGAGAAAACGGAGAAGTCAGGTTGATCTGAAGAAAAACAAGTTCCTAGATATAAACTATATAATCTACATATAACACACCTTGGCCTAATATCCACTTTCAAATTCTTAGAAAAGACTACACCACAATGGCATTTGTCTCAAATGTTTCTTGTCTAGAAACATTTCTTGTCTCCCAAAAAGGCTACTGATAATAAAGGAGATGTATACTTCTTGGGTATAAGTCCTTGCATAAAATGTATAATTTCTTTAAACATTCCGTTCCTTTATAGTTCAGGTGATATAACAGTTTTCTCTAAAAAAAAATTATAAAAGTTAACAAATGAACAATAAAAACTTTGGACTGTAAAAATTTAATTCGAAACTTATTACTGTCAGACATGGTGAACCACACCTGCAATCCTGGTGACTCCATAGGTTGAGGCAAGAGGATTCAAGTTTGAGGTCAGCCTGTATAACTTAGCTAGATAGTGTCTCAAAATAAAAAATTATAAGGGCTGGGAATGTACCTCAGTGGTAAAGAATCCCTAGGTTCAATCTCTAGAATTAAAAATAAATAGATAAAATAAAAATTATTGTTTTTTTCTAGCTAAATATTATATTCATATTAAAAATTATTTAAAAAGTTATAATTTTGCTTACTAAAATCATTTAACCCTCTAAGTCTAAGAGATACAATATAAAAATAAAGATCCAAGAAGGAAACAGTTTTGCCTAAAAAAGTTGAAAGGACCCATATCTCCCCTCAGGTTGATTAACTTACCCTTCTCCTGTTAAAGCACAGCAAGACTGAATGTGCCATGGATGATCCTTAATTGAACTAAGGGTGAGGTATTTAGAGATTTCAGCTGCCGTCATACACCCTTTCATATCCTGTTTATTTGCAAAGATAAGGACTGCAGCTTTCCTTAAATCCTGCGATCAATAAAAAATCTCTATTATGTGAGATATTATTAGTCAAACTAAAATAATGAAGTAAGAGTGTAAAATATACTTATCAGACAGTTATAATGGAATGTCCCTACTTTAAAATGATCAGGCACTAATAATTAATTTTAAAATTTTCTTGAAATAAAAATAATCTCAATCACAATTTAATGGCTCAGTCTAACAAAGACAGATTAACATAAATCAGATAGTTAAAAGTTTTATTTCTATATTTGGGCAAATGGAGTTAAATAAAAAATAAAATATACAGATAGTCTTGGTGGTACACAACCGTAATTCCAGCTGCTCAGGAGGCTGGGGCAGGAGGATTGAGTTCAAAGGAGCTTCAGTAACTTAGGGAGGCACTATGAAACTCAGTGAGACCCTGTCTCTATTTAAATATAAAAAAGGGATAGAGATAGGGCTAAGTGGTTAAGTGCCCCTGGGTTCAATCCCTGGTACGAGAAAAAAATAAAAAAGAAAATATACCAGAATCTCAAATACAGACATGGCTAAATTTCAATGTTGTGAAAAGAACTGCAAGTAACAAAAACATATACATATTATAAGTATAAAAGGTTTAAAGAACATGGAATATATTTCCTACAACTTAAAGTACAGTAAAACACAGTAAAAGTATAAAAATAAGCAAAGAAATAACAATCACTACTTTTAGGATACTGGACACCTCTGAGAGAAAAATCAGATTAAAAGGTTTCTTAAGAATATTTGTTAGAGGGGAGTGACGGGAGGTGGGGGAGTATGGAAGTACGGAGTATGAAAGGACAGTAGAATGAATCAGACATTATTACCCTATGTGCATATATGACTACACAACTGATGTGATTCTACATCATGTACAACCAGAAGAATGAGAAGTTATCCTCCATTTATGTATGTATGATGTGTCAAAATGCACTCTACTGTCATGTATAACTAATTACAAAAACAAAACCTTTTTAAAATCTAAAAAAAAGAGATGTTACAATGATCTCATTATTCATTAAATACTTTAATGATTATAAATACTTGGGGAAAGACTAAAGGTTTTCTTTTTTCATATCTCACTTATCACGATTTATTCTAAGGCATACGTAAGTAATTTCAACATGGAAAAATCACTGCAGAAAGAGTAGTAGCCTATAAATTAATGTTAGGCTTTTACAATGTTTGCAAAAGTTAATCAAATTTTGATGTCAAGATTTTCAATATGTACTCATGATTTTCTAATATATTGGAATACTGGTTTTCAAAGTAGCTTCTAATTATCAATTGTATTTCAGCAATGACTGTGGTGATATTTCCTTTTTCACATCAGGAATTTTAGTAGTTTGAGTTTTTTCTCTTTTTCTTCATTAGCTTGGCTAAGGTTTATCAATGTTATTTATTTTTTCAAAGAACCAACCTTTTGTTTCATTGACTTTTTTGAATCTATACTCAAATAAAATAGAAAATCATGAAGACATCAACAAATTTCTAGAGACACATGACCTACCTAAATTGAATCAAGAGGATATAGAAAATTAAACAGATAAATTTCAAGCCATCAAAAGCCTACCAGCAAAGAAAAGTCTAAGCCTAGATGGCTAATCAGCCAAATTCTACAAGACCTTCAAAGAACTTAAACCAATCCTCCTCAAATTATTCCATGAAACAGAAAAGGAGAAAACCCTTCCAAACTCATTCCATGAAGCTACTATCACCCTGATACCAAAACCAGACAAAAACACATCAAGGAAAGAAAACTTCGGACCAATACCCTTGATGAACGTAGATGAAAAAATTCTTAAAATAATGGCAAATAGCATACAAAAACATATATAAAAGATAATGAACCATGATCAGGTGGGATTCAATCCAGGGATGCATGGTTGGTTCCACATACAGAACCAAATAAACATAATATATTACATCAACAGACTGAAAGACAAGATCACATGATTATCTCAATAAATGCAGAAAAAGCATTTGATAAAATTTAGCATTCATTCATGTTCAAAACACTAGAAAAACTAGGGATAAAAGGAACATATCTCAACATTGTAAAAGCTACCTGTGCTAAACCCAAGGCCAATATCATGCCAAATGCAGAAAACTTGAATATTCCCTTTAAACTCTGGAACAAGACAGGGATCCCCTCTTTCACCACTCCTATTCGATATAGTCATCGAAACCCTAGCAGGGCCATTAGACAGAAGAAATTAAAGGAATATGAATAGGAAAAAAAGAGCTCAAACTATCCCTATTTGTCAACGACATGATTCTATATACAGAAGATTCAAAAAACTCCATGAGAAAGCTTCTAAAATTCATAAATTATTTCAGCAAAGTAGCAGGGTATACAATCAACACCTATAAGTCAATTGCATTCCAATACACTAATGATGAATCAGCTGGAAAAGACCTCTACAATGAAAACTACAAAACACTAAAGAAATAAATTGAAGAAGACCTCTGAAAAATGGAAAGATCTCCCATGTTCTTGGATAGGCAGAATTAATATTGTCAAAAAGGCAATACTACCAAAAGCGCTATACAGATTTAATGAAATTCCTATTAAAATTCCAATATTGTTGTTCCTAGAAATAGAAAAAGCAGTCATGAAATTCATTTGGAAAAATAAGAAGCCCAGAATAGCCAAAACAATCCTTAGTAAGAAAAGTGATGAAGGAGGTATCACAATACCAGACCTCGAATTATACTATAGAGCCATCGTAACAAAAATGGCATGGTACTGGCACAAAAACAGACATGCAGATCAAAGGAATCACATGTACAGTTTCCTCATACTTGACATAGATGCCATAAACATACATTGCAGAAAAGAGCCTCTTCAACAAATGGTGCTGGGAAAACTGGAAATCCATATGTAGCAAAATGAAATTAAATTCCTGTCTCTCGCCCTGCGTAAAGTTCAATTCAAAATGGATCAAGATTCTAGGAATTAGACCACAGACTCTGCGTCTAACTAGGAGAAAAAGTAGGCCCAGCTCTCTATCATGTCGGCTTAGGAACTGACTTCCTCAATAAGACCCCTAAAGTACAAGAAGTAAAATGAAGACTTAATAAATGGGATGGTATTAAACTAAAAGGCTTCTGCACAGAAAAGGAAACAATCAAGAACATGAACAGAGAGCCTACAGAATGGGAGAAAACTTTTACTACCTGCACCTTAGATAGAGCATTAATCTCCAAATAAGAACTCAAAAACTTAACACCAAAAAGCCAAATAACCCAATAAATAAAGGGGCAAAGGAACTGAACACGTACTTCATGGAGGAAGAAATACAAATGGTCAAAAAAATATGAAAAAATGTTCAACATTTCTAGCAATTAGAGAAATGCAAATTAAAACTACACTGGGATTCCATCTCACTCCAGTCAAAGTGGCAATTATCAAGAATACAAGTAACGAACAATTTTGGCAAGGATGTAGGGAAAGAGATACACTCATACATTGTAGGTGGGACTGCAAATTGGTGTAACCACTCTGGAAAGCAGCGTGGAGAGTCCTTAGAAAACTTGGAATGGAACTACCATTCGACTCAGTTATCCCACTTCTCTGTCAATAACCCAAAGGACTTAAAATCAACATACTACAACGACACAGCCACATCAATGCTTACAGCAGCTCAATTCATAATAGCCAAGCTATGGAAACAACCTATGTGTCCTTCAAGAGATGAATGGATAAAGAAAATGTGGTATATATACACAACAGAATATTACTTAGCCATAAAAAACATTTATGGCATTTGCCAGTAAATGGATGGAACTAGAGAATATATGCCTAAATTAAATAAGCTAGTCCCCAAAAATCAAAGGCTGAATATTCTCTCTGATATATGGGTGCTAACCCACAAGGGAGGGTGGCAGAGAAAGAATAGAAGTCCACTGGATTAGAGAAAGGAAGGAAATGAAGGAAAGGTAGGAGGAAAGAGAAGGACAGTACAAATTAATCAGACATCACTTTCCTAGCCTTGTATTTGAATACATGACCAAGGTAACTCTGCATCACATACAATTACAAGAATAGGATCCTAATCAGAATAAGTTATAATCCATGAATGTTTAATATGCCAAAAGACAATCTACTGTCATGTATATCTAAAAAGAACAAATAAATTTTTTCAATATGTAAAGTTTTTTAATGAAATAACCAATATCAATGCACACTAATCATTATAAAAAAGCAAAACCAATAAGAGATCTGACACCATTAGTTTTTGAAGATACGTTTTCAAAACTTACCTCATGAGCCAACATTCTGTATAATTCTTCTTTCGTAATAGCTAGTCGTTCCCTGTCAATACTATCAACAACGAGAATGATGAACTAGAAGACAATTAAAAAAAAAAAAAGTTGAACGTGATGGTGAAAAATTTTCTAATTTACTCAAGTGATATAAGTAGCTTCTTCACATAGCATCGTCATTTCTATAAAATAGGTAGTGCTATTTTTAGTCACAAAGAACTTACAGAGTACTAAATGTTAATAACAAGATGATAACTGATGATTTCAATAAACAAAAACTGTAACCAAGTTTTTTTGTTAAAGTGCTTTTTGAATACATACTATGTGATATTTGCTTTTAAATGTGAATAAATTGATTTATAAAAAGAAACAGTAATTTAAATAACATTTTCACTAAAACATTACTCTATTATTCATTTACTAAGTCAACAATCAGTTACATATTTATGAGTCAGTCTCCCACTTATTTGAAAGAAAAAGTTAAACACATTAAAAATAATACTAATGTATTGGGAAGGTTTGCATTTCTGAAATCACAGCTACTCCAGAGGCTGAGGCAAGGGGATCTCAAGTTCAAACTTTGCAAGATCACATCTCAAAAAAAAAAAAAAAAAAAAAAAAAGTTTTAAAGGGACTGTGGATGTAGGTCATTCATGCATCATTTGCATAGTATGTGTGAGGCCCTGCGTTCTATTCAGTACCACATACAAAGAAAGTGCTAAACTGTGTTAAATTATATACATTGGTGTTAATATGCTAAAGGATCATGCAGGTGAGATGAGAGAAAGGCAAGAGAGCCAGGAAAACTGGAGTAATCCGTTGGTGAAGGTGTACACGAAAAAAATTTAGTCTTGTAAACAAAAATACAAGGAACTTCAAACAAAAATAAAAACAAAGAATGAAAGCAACTTTGCTGGGTAAAAATAAGATAGTAAGAAGAGGCATCTAGCTCAAACACCTTATACAGAAGATAAGTTTGAAAAATGAGATTATATGATGCTAAAGATTATGTACAGTAAGATGGTGATCTAAAATAAGATAGAAAGGATGGAGTCAAGTTATAGAGATGACCTTAAAACTAGGGAGAGACAACTAGAGCAATCTAAATATAAACTGAGGAGGGCTTAAGACAAAAGCAAAGAGAAAGAAATACAGCAAAGGAAGAATGGACAGAATACTGAGAATTACATGTGAGTTAATGAGAGGAAGATGTCAGAAATTAACCAAAACCTATAACTCCTTAGATTATAATGTACCTTTTGGATGTCAGTCACCTCAATGCAAAGAATTTTCAAAAAGCAAGGGGCTGGGATTGTGCTTCAGTGGTAGAGCGCTTGCCTAGCACGTGTAAGGACCTGGGTTTGATCCTCAGCACCACATAAAAATAAATAAAGATACTGTGTCCAATTACAACTAAAAAATAAATATTAAAAAAAAAAAGCAAGATGACAAGAGTGAACAAAGAGATTAGTAAAATACCACACAGACCAGATCCGTATCTGGAATCTAAGAGTGCAAATGCTAGGTGTCATGCTGGTGTTGCAACAAAGGCCTTTATTTTTCATAGTAATTTTGATATTCTTACAGAAATAGTTTATTGAAAGAACATTTCATGTATATGGTATCAGTAATAACATCTTTTTCTGAACTAAGGTAAAGTCGCCTAGAGTTTCATCAATTTCAAAAACTACCCTTCTGAAATGTTTTAAGTACACTTGAAACATCTAGAATTTGACCTATTTCTCAAAGGTGAACTGCTCTTTCACAGCTGAATTTAACTGAGCTTTGGAAAAAGTATGCTGTTGAAATAAGTTATATGCTGAAATGCTGTCCTTCACATACTCTCTAATAGATTCTAGCTTCAGAATGTTATTTTACTTACAAATGTATATTAATCTAACCTATAATAATAATATTTGCTTATCTACTCTTCTGCCTCTCCCCACCCCCCAACCTAAATAAAATAAGTACTACCACAAGTGCTGAATATTTGAGATAGGTCATCCTGGTTTACTACTTATACACTGCATTAGAATATATGCACACATACACTTATGGTATTACAATATACATATTTTTCTTAAAAAGGCAACTTTGCACACCAAAAATTCTTTCTTAAAAAGGCAACTTTTGCACACCAAAAATTCTTTCCATTTCACTTTCTCCCAAGTCCAGTTTTTAAAAGGCTTCATTTTAGAAAATAATTCCTTAGGAGTACCTCTTTGCAAAGAAAAATTACATGGATTCAATTGTACACTAGTATTTTCAAGATGAACCTCTCAACATCACTGCATGACTTCAAAGCAACAACAATAAAAACTTGGCCTCTAAGAAAAAATAAACCAGAAACTGTAGATATTCCAGATTTGTTCCACAGGCTATCTCTGAAGTAATAAGATAATTACAAATTGTGATAGAGAACTCTGAGGGATGGCTGCAAACCCATCTTTTTTTTTTTATTATTATTACAATACAGTCTCACCAAAATTTTAAATATTCATTCGATGCTATTTGAAAATCTTATTTTAAATTATACTTTACTCCTTCCCTAATCAGGTCCTTTTTTATTTTTGCAAGATTTTGGAAAAAGTTGTATAATTTCTCCTAATGTTATATTTCTCCAATACTTGGAGATATGACAATATTGCTAAAAGAATAAACTGTGAGCGCCTAGTTAACAGTAAGCACTCAGTAAATAATCACTCCCAATACTCTTTTCCTTGCCTTTTCTATTTAAAAAATCTGAATTCTTTATTAAAAAAAAAAAAAATCAACCTTATTAAAAGATAACTGTCTATAATCCTAATTTACATTCTATTTTCTGTGTTTCTTTTTCTGGTTAAAATTCAGAAGTATTCTTGGCATACCTCTGTGTTTGAGTAATATGTGTTCCAAGATGACCGTAGGGACTCTTGACCACCAATATCCCACATAAGAAAATGAGTATTCTTTACAACTATTTCTTCAACATTGCTTCCTATAGTTGGAGAAGTATGGACCACTTCATTCATTAAGCTGTTGAAAAAGACAAACACTATAAAAACTCTTTTGTATATTTTGAGAAGAAAAGTAAGTTTTATCCCTATATTTTAAGAATGAATAAACCTTTCTCAAAATACAAACCATAAGCATAAAAAATAAAAACTTGGAGAACATTTGTGCCAATAAAGATCCAGACAAATGGGGGCTGGGGTTGTGGCTCAGCGGTAGAGCGCTTGCCTCGCACGTGCAAGACCCTGGGTTCCATCCTCAGCACCACATAAAAATATGTTAAGTAAAATAAAGGCATTATGTCCAACTACAACTAAAAAGTAAATATTAAAAAAAAAAAAAAAGATCTAGACAAAGAACAAGTACTGAAGACTTTTTTGTTGTTGTTTTTTGGTATTGGGGATTAAGCCCAGAGGCACTTAATTGCAGAGCTACATCCATAGCCCTTTTTCTTTTTTTATTTTAAGATGAAGGCTCACTAAGTTTCTTAGAACCTTGCTAACTTGTTGAGGCTGGCCTCAAACTTGTGATCCTCCCACATCAGCCTCCGGAGTTGCTGAAGACTTGTTTTTTTAATAGAATGAAATGTAAACTTGATTTGGATAGAAGGGAACACTGTAGTGTGAGTCTGCATTTCTGTGGGAAAAAATTCATATACCACCAATTTTTTATTATTTAGGTCAGAACCAATGCCTCATCCTCAACCAAGTTTCTAGGTGACTGACATCAATGTCTGCAATGGCAACCATTGGAGAGTACGCTATCCATACGCATGGTGGCATATACCTGTAATCCCAGTTACTAGGAGGCTGAGGTAGGATTAAAAGTTCCAGGCCAGCCTGGGAAACCTAGCAAAACCTTGTATCAAAATAAAAAATTAAAAGAGCTGGGGATGTAGTTCCATGGCAGAAAACTCCTGGATTTGATTCCCAGTAACACACAAACACACGCACAAACACACACATCAAAGGCTATGTGAGAAATTTAAGACCTAGGTCAGTCAAAAATTAGTGCCGTTGGGTACAGTGGCACGCGCTTCTAATTCCAGCAGCTTGGGAGGCTGAGGCACGAGAATTGCGAGTTCAAAGCCAGCCTCAGCAAAACAGAGGTGCAAAGCAACACAGTGAGACCCTGTCTCTAAATAAAATACAAAAACGGGCTGGAGATGTGGCTTAGTGGTTGAGTGCCCCTGAGTTCAATCCCTGATACCCGCCCCCCTCCCTGCCAAATCAGTGCAGTACAACCCAAATTAGACTTAAAAAGACCATGGGCAAATAAAAATCTTACTTAAAATGAACTGTATATTTATACTGTCTTAATAATCATTAAGTTACATTAATTATTTGATTCATCATGTATTTGCTGACAATATGACAAAGTACTGTGTTGGAAGCCCCAGTTTTCTCCTGAGTGTGTGTGTGTGTGTGTGTGTGTGTGTATTTGAGGCTACATGAAAGTTATAATAAAGAAGAGAAATTTCTTAAATATTTATATTTATTGTTTAAAGACTTCTTAAATATTAAAATACACAATGGCTAATGAATGAAAATGTGTTAAAAGAAGCAGTTACTGAACTCTGAAACAAACCACAGGTAGTAAGTTTTTAGCAAAGTAACTGAAAAATAACATGTATTGGTTAAGTGAATATTTCTGGTGAGCCACAGACTTATGCACATTTGCTTTTCTTTTGTGAGGCTGGGTTTTGAACCCAGGGCCTCCTGCATACTAGACAGGAGCTGTGATGAGCTACACTTCCAGCCCTAGACTCATATACTTTTAACACAAGATGTGGTGGGAAGATGTGAGAGCTCTGAAATCCTGTAAAGTACTTTATTATTACTTGTTAAAATGCTTGAGATCTGGATCCATTTCTGTAAGTTAACATCTCATTGGCACTGTAAGGATCACTGCATTAGCACTGACAGAATAATAAGAGTTACATGGACGATTGAATTGAACTCTTAATTAAATTTCCTTAAAGCATTAATGTATTACTCTTAAAGTTTCAAGTTTCTCCCTTTTGTGAACTAATAAAGCAATATTTTGATCCTCAGTACTTCAGACAAGTCTGGTTATGCTAACTAATTCCAAAGCTATTAGTCAGGAGAGTAGCAAGTTCCCAGAAATATCAAGCCTGGTGTGGAAAGGACTAAGTGAAATACACTTTATCCACTTATCCAGTGCTATAATTTGTGTTTTATTTATTTTAGTTTAACATTAGTTCTTTCTTTTAAGGACAGAAAACAGAAAGTGCTTGTAGAAATATATATTTATCAAAACATGGCAACTTATTTTACTTGCTTTTTTGGTAAAATGCTGAAAAAACATATATTTAAGTCTTTCTACTATATTGAAAAATGAATAAAAATGGCATCTCATTCTTGTTAATTACAAAATGTTTGAATAACTAAAATACTAAAAACTATTAAACACCATACTTACAATTGATAAAGAATGGTGGTTTTCCCGGCATTATCCAGTCCCACTATAATTACTTTGTGTTCTACAGAAAGAAAGCAAACCATAAACATTTAATATTGTTGCATATTACAATTACATGTATTCATACAACAATTACACGTGTTCAACAATGATTATTACTTAGCCTATTAATGAAAATTATTTACTGTATTTCTACTTCTGAACTACTAAAATAAAAAAATAAACTTTATGATGTTAAAGACCTACCTTAAGTGAATCAACCTTTTAAAAGGGTTTCTAACTAGTTCTTTTGAAAAAGAATGTGGGAGATGAGTTAGTGAAAAATTTAGAAGAACCCAGTCACTTTGGGTACAAACATTAATCTAGACAAAACATGATTCTGCTTTACACAGCTACTTAAAGTCTCTGCTAATCAAGTTAGCTTTTTGTCAAGTTGTGTTTACTTGTGATTTTCTACCTACATGTACCAGGATACTTTTCTTCTATCTACTTAAAAATCATTACCTGAAGTACATATATGAAGACCTAAATGGTGTGAATATACTTTGTACACACAAGAGATATGAAAAATTCTATATGTGTAATATGAATTGTAATGCATTCTGCTGTCATATATAATTTAGAATAAAAAATTTTAAAAATCCTTCTTGTAGCTGAAAACTGCAATAATTTCTGTTACCAAGACACACATACTTTTAACTAGTTTTTCATTACTTCTACTAATTTAGAGAAATATAAGTAGTTACTAAGTCTTTAGTGTTTTTTTTTCAATCTGAATTCAACAATTTTCTTGTGCAGATATTGTTTTTTTGTACAACAAAAGTCATTCAGTGCTTTTCTCCTTCTGGTGCCATGCACTAAGTAGTCACTTCTTTATAAGCAGTTTTTTAAGGCCTGTCTAATTATTCTGTTAAGTGGTACATAATCTAAGATCTCCTTTGAATGAAAAAGAGAAAACCCCTGATACCACACAGAATATATTAAAGATTTCATTAATCCAGGGCAGAATGCTTAGAAAGCAGGATATGTATGGAAACTGCCACAAGAACCAGAATACAAATTATTTCGAAGTCAACAATTTAGCACATTTTGTATCCTGTTTCTCTTGATAACCTCTGATGAGTGTCAAAATTCTGATAATACATTCACCTGAATTCAGGTTATATTCCTATTCTAAAGCCTTAATAATACTGTATCAGTCAAAAAAAAAAAAAAAAAAAAAAGAGGCCCAGAATTCATGGGCAAATTCTTGAGATCACAACCTACTTTTTGTATCTTCTAATGATTTATGCACTATACTGCCTGTAATGTTGCAGGACAAGTAGATGTGGTTCTCTGGAAAGGGTTTTTCATTATAGGAGAAGCTGCTTTGTAAAACAAAACTAAACCAAATGAAACTAGTTTATTTATTGTAAGTCACTATAATTCTTTTTCCATTCTTTTGGTTCATATCCCCTAATTTCTAATGGAGGCACTCTTGACATGTTGTGCTGTTTGTTTTTGTTTATAGTACAAGAACAAGAGCACTCTTAGCACAGGCATTTTAAATTCTGATAGTAGCTGAAAACTTTACCTGCTCAGCATCTGGAGACCAGTTAGAAGAAAGTCACTAATCTAAGGGTAAGCAAAACTTAAAAGTATTATGTATTTCTCTGAAAGTTTCAAGTCTTCTCTTTTGCAAGCTACCAAAGCAGTACAATCATTCTGACAATCATTACTTTAGACAAGTGATGCCATGCTACTCAGGAGTATCAGGGGAAGAAAATGGACAGACACTACCAAAATGAAATGAATACCTGGAGCCATTTTCTTTCCAGGGTCGGGGCAGGAGGAACCTGGGACTGAACTCAGAGGCACTCAACCACCGAGCCACATCCCCAGCCTTATTTTATATTTTATTTAGAAACAGGATCTCACTGAGTTGCTTAGTGCCTTGCTATTGCTGACACTGGCTTTGAATCTGGGATCCTCTGGTCTAAGCCTCCAGAGCTGCTGGGATCACAAGCCTGCACCACTGTGCCCCACCCTGGAGCCATTTTCAAACAATTCTGTTTCACATTTTTGATGATGATAACAACTAGAGTATTAAAGGCCTAACAGTAAAACTCATAAATCATGCATCATTTTGTAAGTTGGTCTCCCAAAGGTTGGTCTCCAAAGTGAATTAAGGAGTGACAAACCTTGAAGGTGAATAGCATATAGATTTCAATCAAGTTGTATAAAACTGCTTCTAGCCCACATTGACAAGGAATTCTGGCAATTAAAACACACAATTTCAACTCTTATGATGAAGGTACACATGATTATCCTTCAAATAAAGTGAATTCTATCTTCTGATGTTAAAATTACCATCAACAATCTGAATCAATCTACAAGAGAACATCATCTATAAAGCAATACCTATGAGCTTTTAAAAAGCACAGAATAATGTTTTAGATCTTTGTTCTGAAAAAATATCTTTATCATCATCTGTACAGTAAGAATAAAAGCAGTTCAAAAGCCATTGATTAAAAACCAATTAAAAAAAACTGCACTCTGTTGCATAAGAGTTGAAATTGTGTTTTAGGAAGCTACTAAATAATTGCTAATTGAGTATGCTGATGATCAGATTTCAGTTCATATATACAGGTTAGTAAAGTTTTTACCCATTCAAGGAAAAATCAATTTGCTGTCACAAAATACAAGGTGCCCATGCTCAGAGCAGGAATATTTGTGTTGGGGATAGGAATGTGAGTAAAAATAATTTTAGGTTAAGACTTTACTGTAACTATCAGAGGTACAGTAAATTAGAATATTTTCTTTAAAAAAATGTGTCTGCATACCATGAGATCATTACCAAGGACATCATTTCACTGGAAATAACTTCTCGGGGAATCTCAAGTTCAAAGCCAGCCTCATCAACTTAGCAAGGTCCTAAAGCAACTCAACAAGACTTGTCTCTAAATAAAATAAAATGTAAAAGAAGAGCTGGGGATGTGGCTCACTGGTTAAGACCACTGGTTTCAATCCCAGAAAACAAAAAGGAAAAGAAATACCTTCCTGGAAACCAAATTGTGCTTCTTTCTCCAACAAGAAGCCAGGAGAGAATCTTCCAATGTTATTTATCTATGCATCTCCAGACCCCAACATAATGCATGTTTATTTATACTAAATGAAGGAAAGCTTCAATCTCAAAGTTTTAATTTTGATGAACTTTTTTGTATTCTTGGCTATGGTGTTAGTTCTTTTGGATTTCTTTAAAAATTGGTCCACTTTTTTATTTTGTAAGTAGTACAGAGACACAGACTACACACAATGAGGATCCAAAAGAAATTAATAAGACCCCTTGCTTGTAAATAAGAGCAGGTTAAAAAACAATGGCTAATAAAAATGAAAAAAGAAACTTCAAAGAAAAAAGTGGAATAAAAAAAAATCGAAGAAAGAAAAAGTTTCTCCTCGATTTTTAAATTTTTAGTCAGTGGAAAAAGAATTTATAGTTTTAGTATACAATACCAATTGATGCCCAATAGACTAGCACCATGGGTGCTAAACAGTAGTGGTATTAAAAAATAAACTGTAAAATGTGTCAAAATTTATTTTATCATATTAAATTAATATTGTTAAAATAAGATCAAATGTCCAACTTCTGATTTTAATGTGTAAGAAAGATATCATGAAATAGGGACTGCTACATTCTAGGTATATCACATCTATCCCAATGCTGCCATGTAACTAGAGCAAGTACTATAGATATAGTTTGTAAACAACCATAAAACCAAACAAAGGAAAAAAAGAATCAAATTTAGTGATTTAGAAAATTTGGGATACTATATTTATAAAATATATGTTTCAATTATTGCAAAGGTGTAGACAGAAAAAAAGTTAGTAAAAAAGAGGAAAAAGTCTACATAGCAATGATGGCTGAATTTTGAAAATAAATATGCTCTCAAACCTTCTTTATCCCTGCTATATTAATTATAGAATCATAAGATGTTATAGTTTAGAATAGACTGTAGAATCTGAGAAATCTCTTTCTCTCACATATCTCATCTCCAAATGAACCTCTCCAAATATATCTCTAATGAACCCCCGCCCCGCCAAAAAAAAAAAAAAAAAAAAGATCACAAAATTACTGACATAAGTAAAGCTAGAACTTATTTCTGTTAGGTTACACTATATTCACTTCCCTCTCCTTTTCTTTAACCACCAACAATAACCACATTTCTGGATGATTCGATTTTTTCAAACCAGCAATGTAGATATGATGATTCAACTATTCAACATGTATTGAGTTCACTAAATGCTTGACCATGTGATATTCATGATTAAATTGAACAGAAAAAGACTTTAACTCAAAGAATCTTAAAAGTAGGGTAAACAAGCACTTAAAAAATAGCACTATTAATATGAAGTAATAGATAGAGGTTTCACATGGTAATATTCTTAAAGGTAAAAAAAAAAACCCTAGAGTTCAACTTTTAGCTAAGGAAAAAAATGTCAATAATAAAAAGAGATACTAAAGATTGTCATTAAGTATTTTGCATACATAATCTAGGCCAATCTTTGTAATTATCCCATAAGAAAGTGGTATTATTTCTCATTTTACTGACAGGAAACTTGAGTCTTAGGCAGTTCACAGGCCTAAGGATACTAGCTTAATCTTCCAGAGGAAAGGAGTAGGTATCTTAAAGAAGATAAAAGTTATTGAGCTTTTGTTTGTTTAAGAAACAAAACTTCACCAAAATTAACAATTTCTTCTCAGGACAATTCCCATTAAGAAAATGAACAGAGTGGGGATAGGAGTACACTTCAGTGGTAAAGCATTTGCCTAGCATGCTTATGGCCAGGGGTTCGATCCCTAGCATTGCATGGTGGTGGGATGGGGGAGGATAAAGTCACAGATTGGGGAAAAATATTCACGAAACATAAATCTGACAAAGAACCCACTTCAGAATATAGTAATAATTTCTAAAATTACACAATAAACAGATATATGTTGTTTTTAAATAAATAATGGATTTGAACTGACTTCAAAGATATAATATAAAATGGTAAGAACAAGGAAATTAACATGCCCAAGTC